TCTCTTGAACGTTTTCATTTTTTTTTCTTCATCGGTGTTGTTGATATGCTAATTTTATTTTCCTTTTTTCAATTAATAAAGGAAATAATGGATGTGGATATGAGTTGATCAGTGCTAGCTGACCTTCACACAAAAACCCATACCTACGCCCACTTTCACTCACACCCCTAAACAACAAGATAATGATTCAATTGATAACTCTTCAAGATATATTTTACATTCACTCATGAGTATTGAAGTGGTAGAATTGTCATCGAATAATGATAATGAATCGTGAACCACTAAAATATTTAGTTTATACATTTTGAAAGTTAATATATTGAATGAATTGGAGTTAGACTCGTTTTACGAACACAATAAAAATGACCACAACCTCTATTGTCAGTAGTAAGATTCGCTTCCTGTTTGCCTGTTCTCTTTGATCGTTATTGATGATCCAGTCGATGAAGATAAAACTTGTTTTGACATTACTTTTGATTTTTAATGAACTGAAATGATAAAACCAGACCTTATGTTTACTCGACACTTCTCAGAATAATCAAGAATAAAATGATTTTACTTATCTAAGCTTTGTTAAAGATTAATTGTCCCTTGATTTTTATATAAACAATAGATTTTTTAATGCGTGATATTATTTGCTTCTAGATAAAAAAAAACAATGTATGTATTAATGACGCCAACGTTCAGATTCGTACACTGTTATGATGTGAATCCACTTGTAATAATGAATAAAAATACAAACTGTTTGTGTCTAACCTTGATTTCTGTATCGGTTATGTTGATAAAAGAAGAATGTGTGTAATTTTCATCTTTTTTCTCTTTTCAAGATACGAAAAAATAAAAAATAAAAAAAATGGACCAACAAGAAGAAACAAAAAAAACGAAGGATTGATAAACATCTATAACTGATATCAAAGAACGGAAATGTGTATTCATGCGAAACATTGAAGAGAAAATTCATCTTTCAAAACAACGTCAAAAATTTTAGAAAAATCTTTCTCCAAGGTTTTTTTCTTTTTCTATAAAATGTTCTTTTTGTTTTGTTTCATTGGACTAAAAATTTGATAAAGTAATTAATTGATTTTTATATGAATAATTGATTTCATATAATGAGTAAGAAGAATTTATCTTTTTAGAACAATGGTTACTGCGTTCAGTTCTAGAGACTTTCCGACAGGAACTCGCTGGAAAGTCAACGGTTCCGATCCGAAAACGAGGGAAAATCGGCGGATTTGGAAACAGGAATCCTGCATCCGTATATGATTAATCGGGTATGCTCAGCTTCGGCTGGTTCTTGCTGAAAACGGGGGAAGCTGATCACAGAATTTGGAGACCGTATTCCTACTTCCAAAATCCAACCTTTTTCCGACATTTTCCGATCGGTACTGGACCGTACGCTTCGATCTGAGTTGTATATGTGTTCATTAGATATAGATATTCATCAATTTAAATAATGTTAGACTCGAATTTTAAAACAATCAATCTGAAAAAAAAAAAAAAAAAAATCTCATTCTTTCTTTTATCAACAGAAAATTGCTTGAATTTCTTCTTTTGATCTCTACTAAAAATGACGAACCAAAAAACACGTAACAATGTTTTATTGAAATAATAGACTATTCTACCTTTTCTGTTTTATGATCTGATATTTTAGTTTTTGTTAATGATGGTACTGATGCTTCATTGTTCTTTTTTTGCTTTTTCTAATAAATAATCAAATGTCGAGTAATGTAAATGACGTTAAGCAGAAATTGAAAGTGCTTCAACAGATTGTATTGTTTCTCCACATGATGGAACATCAATATTATGAATAGCACTAAATTCAAATCTTCCTACTTGTCTCGTTGATGATATTAATGGTCCACATATTATATCGACATGACAATTGCCCATTCAATAAACAGATCAACGTGCTTTATTATCTGAAAGTGATATTAAACGAAAGATATGAAGAATTTGTGCAAATTTGAATGGATCATATGCAGAGATCTCTTCAGTAGAAATCTGCAAAGTGGTCCCTATCCCGCCGGAAACGGGACTCGAATTGAAACATTTTCAGACCAGCCCCTGGCAGCTTATTTTTATTAAGTATTTTACTACACATTTTCATATTTTTTTGCTCTGTTCTGACTCACAATCTGTAAATCGACAATTTTTGTTTCCAAATCAAATAAAAGCTTCTCACGGATTTCGATTCTCTTACTAAAAATCGAAGTTTTTTAGAAACTTGAGTAGTTTTTTCGATATCCGAAACATAATATACATAGATTGGACTCGACTGCAGTTTAAATATTCCCTCATATGTAAAAGTTTTCACTATCGTTCTACCATTTTTAGTGTGAATCGCTTAGCTCGGTTGTCGTGCTCATGAGTATTTGAGAGAAGTTTGCTACTTGTTAGCAATAAAAAAAGTAAAACTAAGACTTAATCTTGCAAAAAAATTCCGGAAGTAGTCGTAAAAATAAAAGTCCTAGTTATACAAATTCCGAGGTTCTTCTTCAGATCACAGGCATACTTTTCACACTGAAATAGTACTATGCCAGCCGGCATGTATGCAGGATGTGTGTAGTCTGGAAAAAAACGGTTTTGAGTTTTGATATATGTGAAAATAGAAAATTTTAGCTATAATAAAGATCGGAATCGGGACCGGGACTGAAAAATGTCATTTTGCAGATCTCTATCTCTTCAGCTATACTTACAATGAAGATCATCACCACTTGGTGACCAATCTCCTTAGAAAAAAAATAATTCTTTGTTTTTTTTAAAATTAAATATAAATGAAATTTACCAAGATTAAGTCGAGCATCATAAGCAAATGAACCATATTAAAATTGTGGTGTTGGCAATGAGCAAAGTTCAACATTATAATTTGATTTAAATAATGTTTCAAGTATACTACCGGTGGACTGGTCGCAATATTTTCTTTTAAAACCTTTAACATAGTTTCGGAACTATCGGACATATTTTTTTCGATTTAACAGATTCTTCGGTCAGATTATCAAAGAAAGCGCATAACTCTCACCTTCACCTGCAACCATATCTCCTGAACTTGAATCTCACTCTCACCCTCACATCCTCAAGCTACATCAATAAACATTTCGTATTTTATTCGAACCCTCATGACCGTCAAAATAAACTTTTGATACATTTTCTTGCCATCTTATTGTTTTATAATTTCTATTAACATTTTTATTATATTATACATATATAAAAAAGAGAAAAAAAATTCATTTTTTTCATGTTCATTTATTAAACATCATCAATAACAACAAGATGATGTTGTTCATCGTTTAACGTTGATTTGATGGTGGTGTTCCTACTTCATCAAGTATTGCCTGGAATCGATGATCTTTTAACATATTTTGTCTCTGTGGAGAATTGAAAATATTTGTAGATGATGTAGATGAATTAATTGTATTTGTTAGAATTTCATCTAGTGTTCGAGTGGGATTTGTAGAATCAGACGTATTACCAGTTGATTGTGATGTTGAAGATAGTCGACCATTATTTGAATACATTGAATGTTGAGCAGCAGACATATTTTGATGCATACGAGGATAATCATGTCGTGGCATACTACCAATATTATTATTCATGCTTGATAAAAAAGATATTTGTTGTTGATGGCCAAGTGGTGGAGCAAATGGTCGATTAGGTGATGGACCAGATGGTGAACCAAATGATGGACCAGATGGTAGACCAAGTGATGGACCAGCCCGGGTCCACCATTCAGGTCGTCTGAAACGACGTCTTAAAAGGCCTAAAACGATGAAAAACCGGTGCAATTATTGCCCTAAACGATGAAAAACGATCGCCGTTTTTCATCGTTTTCCGTCAGCTCGGATTGAGGGCCGTTTTTCCCCCGGAACGTAAACGGCGCCGTTTTAGGCCCTTTCCGGCGATTAACGATGAGTAATGCCAAGATCGCATTCTCGCCCTACTATGAGATATTTACACCATTTTCCTCGTTTACGACTCTATTTATATGCTGCCCAAGGATGGTTTTCTCCTCTGTCCACCTTTCCTATAGACAACAAATAAAATTTGTTTATCTAAAGAAAATACTTGCTTTTGAACATTTTATTGAGATAAGTTCTAAATAAAACAAAATAAATGTATTTATTTAAAACAATCAATGACAAATGTTCCATTGAGACGAATCTGAAGAAAAATAAATATATTTAAATAAAATACTGACTTTTAAGTATTTTATTGATTTAAATTCTAAATAAAAAGGATAAATTTATATTTTTTAAATAAAATACTTGTCTTTAAATACATTACTGATTTATTTTCTCAATAAACAAAAAAAAATAAATAAACTTATTTAAATAAAATACTCACTATTGAATATTTGATTACGATAGACCGAAATATAAACATATTTATTTAATTAAAATACTTGCTATTGAATTAGATGGTGAAAGCAATCAAGATGAAAAGTAGTATCAACTTTTTTAACACAAACAGTGAGCAATCTATTATACTTTATCAGAGAATGTCTGACGATGATTTGAGAACCCTTATGTTTATACGATGAAAAACAGTGTGAAACGGCGAAAAAGCAAAGGTCGTAACGACAGCCGTTTCCGCTGGTACGTAAACGACCATCGTAACGGATATCGTATTTTGCCGTTTTTCGCCGTTTTACGGCACATCGTAAACGATGATCGTAACGGGAGTCGTTTTTCATCGTTTTCGAGCCGTTTAAGGCCTTTTACAGACCGTTCTGTACGACATGGGAGGTGGTGGATCAAGTGATGGACCAAGTGGTGGACCAAGTAATGAAAGCATGTTGTTCATTGGATGATAATATGACGGCTGTGAATGAAAAGGATGTTCTTGCATGAGATCACATGGTGGTAATGGAGGTGTTAAACCTGTTGATGGCTGTGATGAACTAGCAGGGTATGAAATAATTCTTCGACTGAGATTGATTGCATGATATGGTATATTAAAATCTCGAGACACAAAATCTGGTAGACCTAATATACAACGCTCAGCATTCGTATTCTAGAAGAAAAATAAAGACTTTGAAATTGTACTCTAAAAGAAAAACAATGTACTTGAAATTGCGTATGCTTCATTCGTGTTGGTATATGTCCTAAATTGGAATTATTTAATGATCGTTTTGAACCTTGATTATTTGATGAATCACATGGTGAATTTGATGATTGTAATGTACTTGTCCTTTGAAACATATTACTTGATGCTGATACCATATTTGATGTAACAGGTTTTTGATCATTATTCATATCTAATGATTCATCTTTATATAATGAAAATTCTTCATTATCCGTATCTGAAGGAAAAACAAAAAAGAAAGAATGATTATAAAATTTAAATCAAATACAGATTATACCAATTTCATCATAATTTATTTGTGTTGATAATCTTGTTAAGTATACTTCATCTTCATGACCAGACAATATTTTATTAATTGATGCTGGTAATGAATCTAGAATGAACTTTTCCGATTGACCAGCTTTATATAAACGTCGTGTTGCAGATAGATCCATTCTAGATGAAAGTAATTTACCATTGAATCCTAAATTATCTTTTGTTGATGTTGTAGTATTTGAAGGTGTTAATGATGATGGTGCCATTGAATAACATGAAGATGGATTCTCATCAATTTGTTGAGCTTTTCCTTCAAGATGTTCCACTTGCATTTTATTCGAATCTTTTAATGCTTGTCCTTGTGAATGATTTGGAGGGGGTAAATTACCAAGATAATTAATCATGTGTACTTGAATTTGATCAATAAATTTTCGTAATGATTCATCGAAATTATTTTTGTTTTTAAATCTATAATAGAATATAAAAATGAAAATACTTTTCTAGAATAAAAATATCTTACTCATAGTCTTTATTGCTAATTATATCTTTATTCAAATTCAGAGGAATTTTTTGGTAAAGTCCTATATCATCATTCTAAAATTGACAAAATAATTCACTTATGTCATTTCATTTGAACATATTCTGCTTAATTGTGTCTTAATAAGTACATCGTTATCTTTTTTGACGCCAACATGTATTTTAATAGACACTTTGTTGTATTTATATTCAAGGTGATAATTTTCTCTTATACCCTTGGCTATTGTGGAAATATTGCGTTGGCTCTTCAAAACATGGAACACAATAATATGGAAAACTATTTTTTTTTTCTTACCTTGTCAAGTGAACAAACGAAATTATTTTCTAAAAGTTCATCATGAATGTATAGAAATGAGAATTGTAATTTTTCCAACTTATCATTAGTATTCGATGACATGCTCAGTGTAATCTAGAAATAAAAGATTATTTAATACATCAATATAAGGATCTTTTGATATAAATGATTGTCGACGAGGAGAACAAAGAGATATTCATCATGTATTATATACTTCTTCATTCTGATGTCATTTTCTTTCTGTTCACGCAATTACACGGCGTATATATCGATAGATATTCGATAAGGTGTAGTAATTTATTCGTTTAGTCATACTACATAGAAATGAAATTCTTTCGTTCTTCTATTCTCGTCCATATTTTATCTTTAGATTTCTTTTTTATCTTAGGCAAATTAGCTACCGATTCGAGTTTTATTTTTCACAATGATTCGCACATTCACGTGTGCCAACCAGAGAATCTTATGTAGCAGATACAACACGAAGAGGACCACCAAAAAGAATAAACATTCTATAAAGTGTACAAGATAAACAAATGATTAAATATCTTATTCGTTTCATCTTCTCTTCATCTACCAAATTCGATATGATAACAAATCGAACAGAGTTGGTTCTCTTCTCATTTAAGGTTAGATAAGCAAAAAAAAGACAAATCATAAATATTATGATTTTTCCAAATCAACATTTCAAAACTAATTGGCTCAAAGAAGAACCGATAGAAAAAAAATCTAATTCTTACCGGGTTCCAGAGGTGCAGAATCTACCGTAAAATTAAAAAATTTCCCCCAGTATGAAAATAGAAGGAATTATCTTTTCCCAACCAAATCTTTAACTAAATATGTAACAAGAGACATAAAACAGAAATAATGCTAGCAACAATTAGAAAGAAGGTTGTTTAAAAAAATGATTTTTATCAGTCATCATTTAATTCTGGTAGTCTTGGTACTTGTTCACTTCGGAAACGATTCAATATCAGTGAACCAAGAGATAATAATTTCCATGGTTGATATTGTTCACTTTTCCTATAAAATAACCAAGTTTTGTCCTTTTTGTTTATAAAATAATTATTTATTGATTGTTCAATAAATTTGTAAAATCGGACCTTCAATTTGGAATCCTGACCCTCGATAACCTATGGTAAAGTTTTCTGGAAAATAATCTCTTCTGATTTCACATCATTCTAGGACCAACCAGTGAAGTGCGGACATACAAGGAAGCAAACAAACAATTTATTCTTGCTAGACTCTTCTCTACGAGAAAGCGAATTTTGAATGCAAAATAACGCTGCTATACAAATATTGAACCCAGCTTTTTTATTTTTTCTAATAAAATCATGTAATTCTTGTCTAACTTTTTCGTCTTCTACAACACACCACATATGAAGTCTATTTTCATAATGTAATTTTAAATTTCTCTTCAAACTTTTGAATCGTTGGGATTGAATCTGATGCGGATCTTGTTCAGCATACTCAAATATACCAAATGAGAGTTTAATTGTACTTAACAGATGTTTTAGTGCTTGTTTTTTTAAATTTAAAATAAGGTATACATGTGATGGTATCCAACTGACTATTTCTAAATATTTTAGCATATATAAATCATTAGAACATGTGATATTTTGAAACATCTGTTTTAAATCATCTGATTGCGAAGATGATGGTAATTGAACCATTGTTTTTTCTAAACTTATTTGATCAATTGCATTTGTCATTTTTTTAAAATGTTCCATCATTAATGCTAATTGATCCGAAACTAAATTTGTCATTGGACTTGTACAAATAAAAGTTCACGAAGGAGGTGACACATGAGAGTTACAGGCAATTTTCCTAATAAGAACAGGTGTGTCAACACCCTCTGTTATTTTCTATTTTTCTCAGGCATTTCTCAACATAAAAAAGTTACTTTTGGATTTCTGAGTAGAGGAGCACTTGGCGCATCCAATGATACAAAAATGAGTTAATTATCTCAAAAATTGATTGAGTAATTAGCGGTATATTTTTGAGAAGTGAATTTGTTCGTATTATGAGTCATGTTCCTAATAAGAACGACAAGCTAAAATTTGTTCCTAATACGAACACTCAATGTAAATACATACAAAATAAAAAAATTTTAATAAACGAGATTTTTTTATA